ACTGATCCCAGGGGTGTGCAGTAGCTAGAAGCGAGCCAGGGCTGTCCAGGATTCAATCGCGAGCAATAAAGAGAAGCAATACTATCGGATCGATGGAATCCCAGAAAAATAAAGAAAAATGTATCATAAATGAAGTTAAGACATCTTCCTTGGAAGAGTGGTGGCTGAAGTTAGTAGGTAAATAATAAATCGTGTGAACTGTGCTGTTGCTAACATCACATGCTTCGAGTTTTATATACATTGACTCACTCACTTCTTCATATCATATCTCCATGAGATAAATTTTATTATCTGTCTCAGAGAGGCCTTCTCCATCCTGTCCTTCACCTAATCCCCCTTCTGTATTCATAGTAATCTTAAACACTGGATAGTTCACTTATTAATAAAAATGTTTCTCAGACAGGCATGATGGTCTTGCCTTTAATCCCAGCACTCAAGAGATCTCAAGGCAGATCTCTATGGGTTCGAGGCCAACCTGGTCTACAAAGAGAGTTCCAGGAAATCCAGGGCTGTTATACACAGACACACACACAAACATACAGATGCACAGACACACAGACACAACACACACAACCTGTCTCAAAAAACAAATAAGAACAAAAAAAGCAAACCAGAACAAAAATTTCTTTCTCCTCATAAAATGGATGCTATTCAAGAGCAAAACCTTTGTTTTGTTTATTGCTGTGTTTCCAGCCATTTATTAGAAAGACATAATATGAACACAATAAATATTAGATAATAGAAACTAAGGCACAGATAACTTTCAATAGACTGTGTAGTCAGGTGGTGTTAGAGTCAAGGCTTTATAAATAAGGCTTTATAAATGGGATATTGAGCTCACAGAAGGCACAGAAAGTGGAGGGATTAACAGATTTTCATCCTATTAAGACACGTAGGAGAACATCAAAGGCTAGGGAGATGGCTCAGCAGTTAAGAGTGCTTGAGTGTCCAAAGGACCTGGTTTTATTCCAAGCATCCACAATGCACCTGAAAACCACTTGTAGCTCCAGCTTGAGGCATTCTGATACCTTCTCTCCTCCTCAGGCACTAGGCACTCACACACAAGAGTTCACAGACATACATGCAGACAAACAGCCATACACCTAAGATAAAAATGAATAAATTTTTAAATATTGAAAAAACACTGATTCAATTGTTTATGCATTCAAATATTTAACAACTTTTGCTAAACACTTGTGCTATACCAGGTGTTATGTCAAGCACAGCAGCAATGGTGGACAAGGCAGAGATAAGGCAGAGATGCCTGCACTGAGTGTGGAAGGAAAGGAGTGAAACAGCTGAGCACACAGGATGATTTTAGGGGGTGATACTTCTGCAATGTTAATAGAGCCGGGTGTGAGATAGAGGATAGTCAGGATGGGACAGAGCATCAGTGGACAGGTCTTCAAAGAGGCCTTTGGGAAAATCACATGAGTTTATCCTTTATTCAACACCAGAGCTTCTAGATTACATATTGGTAATATTTTCATATATAATGAAATACATGGAGGATAAGACCCAAGCTTGAGTGTGAAATTCACTTAATATTTTGTGTGTGCACCTAGCACAATATACACAGGCTGAAGCTAATTTTAGCAGTAAATATTTTTCATACATCTTTGGTTTGGTGGCTTTATTTATTTGTTTGTTGTCTACTTAGTGACTATGTTATGTACCAATAAAGCACATCCCCACGCCCTGTGCAGTGTCTTGATGGCAGTCTACTCCATGAGCTCAAATACAAACTTTTCCACATGTGCTGTCACATCTGTGCTGAAAAGGTTTTGGAGTCTGGAGCATTCTGGAGTTCAGATTCCCACATCAGGGAATTTCAACTTCCTTGTGAGTATAAACCTACAAAATAACGCTCCAAGAGAAGGGCGCTCAGAGCAGAAACACAAGCAGGGTAGAGGGAGGACCAGTACCACGGGGTGTGAAGTGAACTGAGACCAGGAAGGCTCTGTAGAGATGACAATTGTGCACACCAAGCAGGCTTGTGGCCAAAAGAGAGCACTGGTTAGTAACATGGCCACGTGTTTAAGACATTGTCCCCCAAAAGTATACTTAGTTTTAAACCAGAAACCCAAACCAGAAATAACTCTTTCTTCTGAGGTTAAGCGGTCAACTTTAGAGTAGAATCATAGGACACTGAATGAGACTGGAGGGTGAGAATAGAGAAAGGATGTATTTACAGGGGCCAGGTATGGTGGCGTAAGCCTGAGGTCTCTGCTCTCAAATGTTGAAGAAAGAGAATCACAGGTAACTAGCTACCTTGCGCCCCTCACTTTGTCCTCCCAAAAAGACAAGACAATTTTGTCAGTTCATCTGAAAATACCTTACAGCCAACCATCGCAACAGGTGGAACAGGTTATGTTCTACCCTATGACTGCCATAGCTAAAGAGCATTAAAGGAGATCTTCAGGGACCATAAGACAGGAGTGATACTTCATTTGATGTTTTGGTTCCTAAACTTGAGAGAAGAAAAGATTCATGAGGTGTAAAAGCATGTTTCTTTCCTATGTCTGCTCTATCTCCCAAATAGTGACACAGAGACCTATTATTAATAATAGCTTTAGGAATTATAGCTGGGCAGAGAGTAAGCTATTCTAACCTGAGCATGCTTGCCTACTCCCAACCACCAAGCCTCTCTCTTTTCTCTGCTTTCCACCTGGGACCTCCCCTCACAGGGGTCAGAAGTCCTGCTTTAACTCTCCTGCCCAGCTACAGGCTGTTCACATCTTTATTAACCAATCAGAGGTGATGGAGAACAATTTTTACACAACAGTGAGACAGGAGATGCTTCAGTAATAATGACAAGGCCATCGTCTCGACTGCCACCAAATCTCTGGGTACAGAAATCGGTGTCTGAATACACAGTGCACAAAGCATCCTCTGACAACAGAGAGTGTTAAACATGTACGTTGCTGTGCCCCACTTAAAACTTTCGATTCCTTTTTTTGGGGGTGGCTCCTAAATCTTCATGTGGGGTTAAGAAGTGGTCTCTAGACTGACTGCTCCTCAAGAAGTGTGAAAAAGGATCTGCTAATTAGCTTCCGTTAGAGTTTATGACTCTCTAGAAACAATGAAAAAGTCACGTCTATATACAAAGGCATAGCTTCTCTTTTGAGGAGAGAATCACTACCATGACAACACACTCACAAACTTGGCAAGACTAAACCAGTGGTTCAGACATTCATCTAGTGTAGCTGTTGCAGACTAGAGACTAGGGGACAGTGCTGGGAGGCAAGTAACCTGCCTCAGTCCATAAAGCCAGAAGGCAGAAAACATTGTGTCTTACTTCAGACTTTCTGAAATACCCAAGCCCCACACTCTCTCCTCTTTGCACTGCTAACCATAGGTAAGGGAGAGAAGGCAGAGGATTTAAGAACAAGGCAGGAGGGGAAGAAGTCCTCAAATGAAACTTTCCCCCTTTTTTGGCTACTGATGAGACAGATCAGCAGAATGGGAGATTATAATAAAGACATCCCAACTAAGTGTAACTGGGCTTTAAGGGCAGAATAGCATCTGGCTCAATATGCCACTTAGAGAGATAAGTTATGGTAAAACACAGAGGTGAGATTTAATCAACATACTGTGAACAGGAACAAATAAAGGTGTCCAATGACCTCCAAGTTCATCTTCAGTACTCTATGCTTAGAGAGCTGGAGCAGTGAGGCAAGAGTGATATTTACGCACATGTTCAGAAGGGGTTCTTGTCACTTGAGGGAACAAACTGGTGTCACCAGTTTCTAGATAGACTCATCTTGAGTGACTAACATATTCAGCATGTGCAGGTAAGTAGGGGACCCAAAGCAGAGCAGACAAATACGAGATACAGGTAAAGATACCAGGCATATTCTGTTTTTATTAACCTTGTAGGCAAAGCAAGGAGTGGATGCTTTTATGGAAAAGCAGTTTCTAAGTGTTTTGGAATATATATTTTTTTAATCCAGCCATTTGCTTACATTGCCCTTCCAGTCTCATCAGCTATGGGATGCTATCTCTAAATGGGACTCACAATCAAGCACAGAGACCACGTACCCTGTTGTTAGAAGTGCGACAAGGTGAGGCTTCTGTGAGGACTCCCTCTGCACATCCCAGATGGTTCAGGATTTCCTACCTTTACATTAATTTATTTCTTCAGTCCAGTTGGCATTGTGACCTTGCCATTCCTTGTTGGTGTCCCCAGCGTTTAGTGGGTTACTATGTATCTCACTCTACAGTTTTGGGGTATATCTGATCTAAGCTGGGTCTCTGGGTTCACCAGGCTTTCTCTGCTTTCTTATCTGACTGATCACCTCCCCTTCTTCCATCTTCTGCCCTAAGCGGTGCTGCAGGCTTTCCTTCTTTCCTGGCACTGCTTTGCTACACAGCATCACTCAGGAATGTTTGAGCTGTTTTGTTGCTGGATACTATCTTGCTGTGAGGCAGATGCCCTCAGCAGCGCTGACCAGGGAAACCAGCTATGGGATCTGTCCTGCCTAGCTAGCTGGAGGCAGAGGAAAGGCAGCCACTCTGTAATTTTCCCAGCAGCCTCCTTAAATCTATGGGTGACAGTGTGGACATGTTGTCTTCAACAGACAAGGAAATGAGCTCAGAGCTTAGGAAACTTGCCCCGGGTCGCAAATTAAATTAAGGATGATGTAGAAGTGAACACAGCTTCAGACTGGAAGCCATCCAAAAGGTTGCAAGAGAAAAATCATCGGCTCTTTCATAGCCTCGAAGCGTTCCACTACTGTCTCGCAGCAGTTACTGGAAGACTGTGCCAGACTTCCTCTTCATCCTCATCCCGTGAGCAAGCTGCACAGTGGATTACTCATTTTCTCTCTTGCCTGTGACTGAGGCTGTTTCTCACATCCTACTCCTGGTTTCGTCGTCTCAGGGATTTCATTTGAAGGGCGGGGCATTCCTTCACATCCCTCCACCCTAACCGGAGACTGAAGTCTGGACCAATGAAAGCATAGTGCCTCGTTTACTGGCACTAAAACTGGCGCTATTTAAGTGGTAGCAGGAATGAGCTGGGAATTGTGTCTGCTTTCTCCTCAAACGGGCCAACTATCTGATCTGGGGCATCCCTGAGCTGAAGAGGGAAGGGAGGGAAACCTGCAGGGCTCTGGCTGTCACTATGTGCTATGGAAAATGTGCAAGGTGCATCGGACACTCTCTGGTGTGGATTTCTGTCTTCTGCATCGTAGCTAATATTCTGCTCTACTTCCCGAATGGGGAAACAAAATATGCTCTTGATGATCACCTTAGCCGCTTTGTGTGGTACTTTGCCGGCATCGTAGGCGGAGGTCTGCTGGTAAGTCACTGGGAACTATTATCTCTAAAAGTTCCTCTCCTCTCGAATGGCAGTGAGCATTCTTCTCACGTGAAGTTTTCTCCAATGCCCATCTGTAAACACTGGCTGCTGCTGCTGCTGCTGCTCTTTCTTTTGAAAGCAGAATAATACAGGGCTGTGGTATACTTTTTGCTAATCTTATTAGATGCTGTCTTAATAAAACAAATATTTTACCTTAGAGCGAACTCTCTTGTCTCTAATGCTTTTACTTTACAGCTTGAAAAAAAAATATTCACCTTTAAAGGAGACTTGTATAGAGTTTCTGAGCTCTGGACTGGCAGTCGCTTCTCATTTGCTTCAGGGAGCTGACTAGAGTTGGCTGGCTCCAAAACAGAAGTTTGGGATGTAAATTATTCTCTGCTGCTTATTTTCAAGCAACCGTGACAGGGGAAAACATTAAGGGAGTGCACTGGTGTTTTCAAATAACTGTAAGTGTTCTCCTGGAGTTAGAAGTAGGTTAGCATGTCGGCTTAATAGTGGAATGTTGTTGTTTTTTGCACAGTCTGTTTTTAGTTAAAGTTGATAGGCATTTACTTGACACATTGGGGGGTGAAAGCATTAGCTTCGGTGTCAACACAGATGGGATGTAGATTCGTTTGGGTTAGCTCATTTACAATGCTGGAATTAAGAACTGCGAAGAGAAATTTTATGGAATTGTTACTGTCAGAGATAATACTACTCTCCTTCCCAACTGAAATTAAGGCGTCTCAGCCTAATATTCGTACTCACTGTGGCACGGCATGGCGAGTGTGCTTTGAACTTAAACATCACTGTCCTTCTTGTTCCCGTAATCAATACCAATACGATTATATAAACACAGTCACTGTTTAACATCCACTTACCAGCCACTGTGCTTAGTTCCTTTGGCCTTAAACTTCCAGTAGCTCATTCTTACTTGAAGAGCCCCATGGCTGAGTTGAAATGGCACTTTTGCATTTTAAAAAAGAAAGGCAATCAAGCAAACAAACAAAAAACAGTTCGTAATTTTTTTTCTATAGAAAATCTTTATTTTTTTTCTACATACTCAAAACGTTTCAGTTATTCTACTCAAGATTTGATCTTCTATGCTTGACTAGAGGTTGGGAGTCCGATTTAAAGACAGCTTTTAGATGTAACAGTTCTCTAACAGCTTTCATATCATACGGAAAATATGTTAAAATTCTTACGAAATGTTCACATTTACAAATTGCTATTTCACATTCTGTATGCTCACCTATTGTACATAAAAACAAGCAAATGTAATAGTTTTTTTTTTTCCTTCAGGCCTTTATGTCCATCATGTTATTTGCTTAATCTAATCCCTTAGAGATAGGTAGATTTGACAGCAATGCCTACCCCCCCCCCCCCCCCCCCCCCCCCCCCCCCCCCCC